TTTAATTGCATTTTCATAGGGCGCACTTCTGTGAACGCGGCTTGCTTGTCATTTGTGCCGCTGATGTGATACGATTGTATACCGGTGAGTTCTCCGATATACAATACATCGGATGGTGATTTCCACTACATGACACTCTGCAAAGCTTTATCTACTCGCGGAAATCGATGGCCTAGTGATCTTGACGGCAGCCGCAAACCCACTACGTACCGAGTTTCCTTCCTTGTGCAGACTTCTCCACCTGATGACTCAAAACAAGGACAACGCGTCGTGGAGTGCGGCATAGGTGAGGTAAACGCCGAGACCCTCCACCGCCATCATCCGCATCATCATCATTATATACGTTAGGTGCAGGTGGAAAACACCTCAGCTATTGTGCCGCAATACAAAAGAATAGAAAAAATATGCAGCAGAGCCACGCCGGTTGAGTCACCAATAACAAATGGTCATTGTTCCGGAGAGCTAACAGCTGGCTATTGTGCTGCAAAATAGTCATATTATACGTAATATATGAGATCGCGGTTGGAGGAGAAGGCTAATCTGGAGGGAGAGGGACAAAGAAACTCACAACACAAACACCCTCGAGGTCGGCTCCAAGCCATGTCAACAGTTGTATCCAGCTAAGCGAGTTCATCGTCCTTCGGTCCCCAACCAGGGAGCCGAGAGGCTCCAACCGAGGCCAGCGTCGAAGGCCTTCATTGCTCTCGATCAAGTCATCGCTTGGCCACCCCTCCTCTTCTTCCATCCACACCCCCGGGGTGCAAACAACGCACGTCGCGGGAGTCGGTGTGCTGGCATGCGCAACACGTGGCCTAGCCATCGGAGCCTGGTGCATGAAATAACGATGCTGAGCGGTTCGCTTCTTCTTCCTGCGCCATAAACAAGGCGTCGAACACGCTCATTGCTCACGCGATATTCCCACCAGATATGAGCCAAACTGCGAAGGAACTGCTTCATCTAAGGAGCCAGGTTTCACAACCGTACAATAGGCTCGAACGTACGGTTGCATTGTACACTCTATCCTTCAATAAGGGGGTGATGTCGCGCCAGCGCGATAATTGGTGAACCTTAGCAAAAGTGCCTCGGGCTTTTACTATGCGGTTTTTGTAACCTTGTCTTTAACTCCAACGGCACTGGCACAACTACTTAGTTAGTTGAATTTTTGATTGACTTCTAGCTGATCCCCACCAACGGTCAGCACAGATGGGAGTCCCTGACTTGGAGGAGACCTTTGCACCTTGAGTGTGCAAAGCATAGCCCGAAACTTTTGACTGCTAGTGCTTATCTGTGCATTGCTGCTTGGGAACTTTGTGCGCTGTCACAGATGAGGGTAATATCGTCAGCATACTCCAAGTCATGAAGTCGTTCACCTGGGAGCAGCTCCACGCCTAAGTCGTGTTCTGTGGACGCGATGTCCATGACTTCGTCAATAACGAACTTGAAGAGGAATGGTGACAGCAGTCATCCTTGTTTTACACTGCTGGATATATTGTGGGGCGGTGACAGCTTGGCGTAAGCCTTCACTTGGCCGTGCTACGCGTGTAAACCTCTTGCATAATATTTCCATACTTTTCAAGTGCTCCTTTCCTTAGCAGGCAGTCCCTAAGGGCACCTCGATCCACTTAATCAAAGGCAAGTTTGATGTCGAGGAACACTACAACGGTGGGCCGCTAATATATATGCCGGTGCTCCAACGACTGACGCAAAGTGAAGATATGGTCCATACAGCCACGACCTCTACGAAACCTGGCTTGCTCCTCACGAATCCGGCTTTCACTTGCGCCAGTCAGTCTGTGAAGGATGACAGAGGCAAGTAGTTTGGAGGCGTTGGGAATCAGACTTTCTTCTATGGTTGCCGCATTGCGATCGTGAGCCTCCTTTGAAGATCGGGACAATAACGGAGCGGATCCAGTCGATGGGGCAGTTTTCTGCTCCCACAGTGTAACTAGTAACACAAGTAAATCATCCACAAGAACAGAGCCCCCGAATTTGAAGAGGGCTGATTGAAGATCATCTGATCTAGTAGCTTTATTCAGGTTCAGCAGTCCGATCTCACGTTCTACTTCTGAGCGAGAGGGCGCATGCAAATGGACAGTCCAGGCAGCACGGCGAACTTTGGCGGGTGAGGAATCTAACAACTCCGACCGATTAAATCGCTTTTCATAATGCTCAGCCCAACGCTCCAAGCGTTTTGATAAGTTGTGGATAAGCTTTTCACTCATATCATAGTTTCATTAACACTAAGTCTCCTGTTTCCTCTTTCCTGTATCAGATGGAATGACTTCTGATCGTTACCAAGGGCAGCGGCCACTTCCATCTCTGACGCACCTTGAGACCACCAGGATTCGCGGTCTCTTCGGGCTAGCACGGACTTTGGCCCTCAGATCTTTGCGAGTCTCCTTGTGTTTGCTTCCAGCCGGAATATGCCGTCACGCATCCATCTGCTCCAGGAACTGCAAAGCGACCTAATGTCTCTTTTGGCCAGTGAATTTACCACATAATTATTTACCTGCTTCTAGTATGGTCTGGTGAACATGCGACTAATGACCTTCAACTCTATTCATTGAGCGCTTACTCAACCCCAACGCCAGTGTACTTCGTTACACATTTAGATCACCTGCATTCGCCAGTTAGCTGGTGCCTATGCGCTCACAGGGTCCTCGGGCGGACCGCCAAAACGCACCCGCAGATCAGCACCTATAAGTGCATGGTCAGTGTCCACACATGTGCTCCTTATCGAGCGACAGTTTTGGATGCAGCCTCTAGCGAAGACTGATCGTGATGTGATCGATTTGCTTCCATGGCTGTTTCTAGGCTGGTGGGCGCCGTGGCACCTTTCGACGGTGCCCTGTCGGAAGTTAGTGCTTCCAAGAAATAAGCGTGCATCTTCACACAAATGAAGTAACCGCTCATCCTTATCGTTACGGGATTCTACACCATATTGACCGCCCAGATGCAGCCCATAAATGAATAGTTTCCAATTTGAACATTTAAACTCCCAACCAGCACTACAGTATCCGCGCTTCGTCTGTGGCGAAGGAGCCGGTTTGGTCGGTACTCGTTTTTGAATCGTCTCCGAATAGGCGCGACGAAAAGCACTGCAAGTGTCACTTGAACGGGTCGCAGAGTGAGAACAGAGCTCGGTTCTTGTAGGCGGGTTTTTAATGGACAGCAGATATCGATCGAGAGGGTCTCTAATCTTACCGGCAAGTGATGCCCTTTGACCGATCTGTAACAGGGTGCGTATGTTGAGGCGTGCCATTCTATGGGAGGATCCGGGGCTCCAAATGGAAGCCATTGAACTGGGCTTGACCACATGGTTAGACTCGGGGATTGTCGACAGGGCAGGAGTGACGCTGCGCGTTTGCCTGTGAGTTGAAACTACGAGATAAACGTTTATCGAAGCATGGTGTGGGAGGGCCAAGAATTGGGGCTTTTAAAACGGTGGAGGATAAAAGTGAAGTTGGAACGGAACGATAAGGGTGCAAAAGCGTAGCAGGGGGGAATAAGAAGACGGGAATGCTTGAGCAGTAGCGGTTAGGGTACCGTTGATTATCTTTGCGACGGCCAGAGCATCAAGAAATTGTTTGAGGAAAGATCTATAATAATGCGTAGGCAGGATATTGTCAGGTTGCCCTGGCCTAGACAGAACTACGATTAGGGTTCTCCACCAAAGCTCTTGGTTCAAAAACCTGACCGCAAGACAGCTGGTTTGGCAGTGGACTACATGGAGTCCGTTTTAAAGGATAAGGAGTCACCCTCAGTCTGGAGGGCCACGAGACAGTTTGTCTGGTCTCTAACCATTGACCAATCTGGTATGAGTGACTGAAGGTGCAATAATACACCACCAAGCATAGCTGAGTGGATCGCTGAGGCACGCAAATCATCACACCACAGTAAGGTCCAGCGTCCACCTTATCTTTTTGTTTGCTTCGGTCTTTCCTTTTGCGAATACGGTGTACGATCTCAGTATCTTTTTGGAAACTCTGCATACCGTTTACTAAGTGGAAGCGGTTTTTTAGGTAATTAAAGCATTTATTTCCCGATGAGATTTTCAACAAAAACGCTGTCATGCTAACACCGCACGATTTATATCCGGAAAATTTTCTCTGCGTATTATCAAGTGTATACTGCAGATTGCGTACAAGCATATATCTATAGCATCATGAACATCTGGTATAGTTGGGATAGTAAATTCACCAAAAACCTTAAACCGACACACACATAGACAATCACTCACACACTTGTTGTTTTGTCAGCTGACCTACTACCTCGGCAGAGCCAACCTAACGAATGCAGAGAAATTTTTCCGGAAATAAATCGTGCGGTGCTATCATGCTAACGTTCTTGTGGAATGGATGCATTAAGAAGCGAAATCTCTGTATCCCTCCTGTATACTAACCTGTTGTGTCAGTGATTATTCCCGATATTTCATATGGAAAGTGTTAGTCAAGGAGTTTCTTGAATACCGACACCGACTTTCCCTCCATTATGTGCGGCTGCAAATTTGTTCTACATATTCACATAGCCGTTTCTTCTGTTACCGGTGGCCACTGTATGCATTTTCAATAATTGCGCTTTTTACTTCACTACAACACTATGGTTTCGGTTACAGTGCGGTACGCGGAGTACACCGTCTATTCCCCGCTTATGTTCGCGTGTTCTGTTCTGTTGACTTCACAGAGCAAATTGTACCTCTCCTACAGTGTTTACCTTCCAACTCCCGTAGCCACGTTGTTAGCGACGTCTCTAGGTAACTAATCAGAAACAGGGTAATTTCTTTGATAGTTTTCAAGTTGGACCAACTCCTCGCGTGTAACGTCACTTCACTCAGAGACCGTCTGGTTACGTAGGTATGCGTTAAGTTCACTTTTTCGAGTTCTTTGCACGTTAGTATATTCCACATATTCTCACCAGCATACTGATTTTACTCGCATCACACTAATCACATGCGAATTTCTTATCCGTACTTTTGAATTTTCTCCTTTCTTCAATTTCAGTTTTATTCTTCGATCTATCCTGTCGAACGATTGAATGACTATTATCAACTATCCTCTGGGGCTTTTTGGAACATTCCTGGAGCACAGTTCGGAGGAACCACATATGCTACTCAGCTAGTCTCTTCCCTCATTGGTGACTTTGCCCCGCTCCTGCGTGCTCCCCTCCTTTATTCCTTGATATTACCCCGGCATCTTGTGACGGATAGGGCGCCTGTGGTATGCTCCATTCTATGCTCTTATTATCTAAGTAGCGATTTTTGAATCCGATTCTGCGCACAGATCCCTCTTAATTTAATAGATCACATCCCTTTAGTGCACTTCGACGTGCTTCGCATAATTGTGGTACTTTTTTGCCGATCTTCACTATCCGTCCCTTCATCCCAAAGCATTTTTGAGGCGTCATCGATTGCTTACTTTTGCACATACAGTTTATGCACGTTCAATGGAGCTGTATCGTCTTTGTGCCTTACGCCAATCTCTCTCTCTCTCTGTAAAGTATATCTCCTTTTATATGCCTACTACTGGCGCTCCATTTCACATGCTAACTTTGCCTTGTCATCCAGAAGAAGTACTGGTTGTTTCACAATTTCAACTACGTTCATCTACTCAGTCGACAGTCTGTCTTACGATGCCAATAACTCGTGTTCGGAACACTAACTCAAGGATTTGGCCTGTACGCCTAAGCAGGTGACATGCTGTCCCAATCTTTAATAACTTCTTTGATTCTTGTATCTGTCATGCCATTGTTTAGGTTTTCTAAAGTTTGTCGCAGTCAAACCGATATTCCTCAGCTTAGACCTCGACAGGACAGCGCAGTCAGATTTCAAGTTTGCCGACTTGCCCGATTAGTCGCCATGTAGTGTGCAGTAGAAGCAACGACTCGTTTGCATTGGTAACAATTCCATCGTAACGAGGTGGAATCTTGAAATTGTACTATGGTTTGTGTGTTTCAGTGGTCTGTCGAGCTATACTACATGATACCTCAGATTCGCTCATGCCAGCTTGGTCATTGGTTGTAGTAACTCAGTTTCCTCCTCCAATAGACGATTTTGGTATGGTGTCTCCCTTTTCCACAATATAAACACGTAAGGCGCAACCTTGATCTGCACGAGACCTTGCTCAGCAGTCAGGATCAGTAAAATACACAACTCCTTTTAGGCCAGTGTCAAACTCCCACTGCCTTACGGTAAGGTTTTCGACCCAATGGCTTTAGTGGAGAAAATCAGTTGTTATCCCATGTAGGGCTGGGCAACCAGGCAATACCCTGGACACGCATAGCCTGATGAAGTGTTCAAGCGACTTGATGCTTTGGCCTTCGTACCGAATAATCAGCGTGGTATATATATGGTTGAGGACGCAACTCCTCCGGGCTTCCTCCTGCATCCCTATCGTAAAGTTCCAACTTCAACCCTCAATTACTGGCCTCCCAATATGCTTCGATAGGCCTTTGTCTTCTAATTTCGACTCACGAACGATTGCAGGGTCTCATTTCTGTCCGGTCGACAAGTCTATGCCTCCAACCTAGCGGAAAACCGTAGTTTGTCTTTTTTCTTTTTGGAGCCCTGGATCCTCGATGAGACTGATATGACTCGATGTTCACAATGCCACAGGTCAGTCAACAGGTCACACTTGTCTGAACATTAAACACCCTGTCAATCGATAGACGATGCCTATCAAAAACCTCCTTTTAGGAAACCCCTAACTTCCTAGCTTCTGACCTGTCACTTGAACTTGCAGTGCGTGCTTCTACAATTTCATGACGAACTCTCTAACCAGTTAACAGTAGTGAATGAGGTTGGTGAGCCGAACGCTGATTAGATTTGTTTTTACTATGCCATCAGGAAAGCTTTCAATGCCTTGAGACGTCTGCAATGTGAATCGATCTCTGAGTCGTCGACCAGTTTGATCGTAACACGCAAACTGGCTCCAGGTGGGTTGGATATTGGGTTTTAGCTCGTCCGTGACACCCTGAAACGACTGGAACGGTGGATGGAAAAGGCCCATTAAATGGTAATAGCCGGTGCTATTTGGAACAGCTGAATTTTGTTCCAGCTCATCCGGAACACGGATCTGAGGAATCCACCAGTTAGTGAGACAATGGCTGAGGAAAATGGACAGCCTCTTCGACTTGCCCGTTGGGCGGAACATTTTGAAGACCAGTTCAGCAGACCCGACACGGCACTGTCGCTTGTTGAATCACCTGATCCGACGTGGGATATTGATATCACACATCCAGTTTTGTCAGAGATCCGACATCAGTTTCATTGTTGAAATAGAACCTTTCTGAAAATGGTGTCTTTGTTTACTTGACTTGCTTCTCTAGTTAGCACGAGTCGGGACACTGAAGAGGTGGTTTCAGGCTATCGAATGTCATATGTACTACCCATCTTCAGAACCAGTGAATTTTGTGCGAAAATCCCAAAGGTGTTGGTTCTATTTCCACCGATTCCAAGCTTCTCATAGGTCTCATCCTTCAACGACTAACTGGGATTTTTTCTTGCGAGCCGGATTACTGAGGGACCGATGGCTTCTGCACTGATCGTGGCTGCCTTGACCACATATTTACTCTTCGTCACATGCAGACGATCGACTATGTTGGTCTTCCTTGATTAGAAAGCCGCCTTCGATTCTGTTGATCTTGTTAGCTTGTGTGAAGCCATGCCATCCAAACGCATTTCCATTATAAATTATCTACCGGGACTCCCGGGGTCAGGTGAAACTTTACGAGCAACTATTTGCTGAACTTCTGATGACAAGTGGGGTTCGCCAAGGTTTTCTTTCAACTTTGTGATCGAATTGATCTGAAATGACTCGGTTCTTTCATACTTTTCCGGAGTGGAAGTTCTGCCAACTGACGGACTAACAAACCTTGAGTATACGGACGACTTTACTCACCTTAGGTCTGATGCAGTGACTGTGCAAGCACTACTGGATTGGCGGGTGTGTGGCACTACACACTTCGGCTTGTGTCTTGCGCTTTCAAAGTGCAAAGTACTCGACCAATAAACCGACGGTTCTTCGTGCAACCGAACAATTACTGGAAGTGGTAAATCGGTTCACGTTCGTTAGTAGCTATATCACCACTAGTGACCACATGACTGGCGCTTTACATAGGCCCAGCCATATATACAGACAGCGGAACACCAGTCTGTCAATGAAAGTTAGGGTGTATAACGTTAAGATAATGTCTGTGTCACTCTATGCATCAGAGGCCCGGATAGTTTGCGGCGGACATGAAATACTTGTCCGTGTTGGACCACCGCTGCTTGCTCACGTCTGGTGGGAACATCCGGAGAGCAACTCCGAGGTCCGCCAGTTGGTTTTTTTGTCACGAAAATGCAGAGGTTACCAAGCTACAACCCACTGGCCGGATCGGGCCCTCGACCTCAGTGCATCCCACCCGCTAATCATACTCGACTTTGCTTGATAAAACTTAGAGAACATGGGGCGTTGTGATACTATTTCCATTTTATGCTCCATATCACATTATCGTGACTTACACTCCTTGGACAGTAGCTTGAGCCAGTTCATGGTTATTTCATGTGACACCGTATTATCAGTGACCTCGTATGGTTGCGGCGTTTACTTTAATCATCACGCATGAGACCCGCTCATTCGTGTATATATATATATATATATATATATATATATATATACATATATATATATATATATATATATATATATATATATATATTGCACTGGAGCATACGCGCACTGTTCGACCAGAACTGTTGTGGGCGCACCGCACTGGTCGCGATGGTGCCCGCGCACTACGGCATTGATATTGCTTCACTTAGGGAGATTCAACTCGCTGACGAAGACAAACTGTATGACGCTGGAGCCGGCTACACATTCTTCTGGGTAGGAAATACCACCACAACATCACCTGAACATGGGGTCGAATCCGCACTATCCGACCGCATAAATGGCCAGCTGATGCGAGGGTTTACTGACATCCGCACACCATTAATGACTCTACCTACGACTTGGAAGGGATTAATTTGCCCCTATGGTCTCACTATGTGTTATCCTGATGATACGAGGGATCACTTTTACACTCAGGTATCCTCCATGATACGATTTGTCCCGAGGAACGACTGGATGTTCCTACTGGTTGGTTTCAACACGTACGTTGGGCGTGATGCCGCGGTGAGGGCAGACGTAATTGGTCTGTATCGGAGCGGTGACCGGCTGCTCCCATTGGGCGCCATTCACGGCCCGACGATCATGAACACGCAGTCTGCACTGGGTATGAGTGATATGATTATTTGGACTCACCCACGAAGTGGTCACGCTCACCTAGTCATCGTACGTCAGCGCGACATGCGTAAATTTCGCATGTCACGTAAATTGCATGGAGCTGAGTGTGGCACTGATCACAAATTGCGCCTGCTATGAATCAGCGGCGCAACTTTAATGTTCGTTCCCTGGGTACTATTTAAAAGAGTATAGAACTGGGGAATACAATGGCTAATCGCTCTGCCGTTGTTGACTTTGTCGCATTAGTCAGCGAACTGTGACACCGCATTCTAGACGATGTGACGGTTGTGGCCGAAGAAACCATCGGGCACACGATCTGTAGTCTGTCCGATTGGTTTGATGACAACAGTGCGACCAATGACGCATTGGTGTCGGAGAAGAATGCAGCTTTCGCTGTACATGTGGCGGACCCTGCTGACTCCGAGGAGAGTGTGTTTCGTAAACTTCGACGGTGACTGAATCGAAACTCACGTTACACTAAGGATGAATGGTAACCGGAGAAGACGAAGCCAATACTCTGATACGTCGAACGCCGCCAACTCAAGGAATGCTTTGAATCCTTGAAGAAGATATATGGTTCCACCTTACAGCTGCTGAGGACGCTGGTGAATGCTGCTTCGGATGCTTCCTGCACACAGACTGTAGGCGTGATGCAAATCTAGCGAAAACGCTTTGACTGTCTTTTGAACATCCATTCAGAACTTGTCAGCGTTACGTTGCACGAGCTGTGTCTAATGGCACACTGACAGTGCTTGAGACGCAGTGGGCACTCGCTTAGTTGCGAAACAACAAATGTGCCGTAGCTGATGGGATACCGCCAGAAGTATTGAATCACGGCGGACCAGCTTTGATACATACGCTGCACCACTTGGAACAATGGTGCAACGCGTGGTTTGAAATATACACCTGTCCTATTGCTTTACAAGGGCAAAGAGAGCAGCCGATGTGTGACGATTGTTCGTGGCATCAACTTGCTGAGTTATGTTGGGCAGGGTGATCGCACGAATCCTGCTCAATCGCCTCGTCACTCAGGTCGTTTATCCGCACATGGCGGAACAGTACTGTGGATCCGTTCGGGCCGCAGCACGATTGATATGGTGTTCGCGGCTCGTCACTTGAAGGAGAAATGCAGAGAGCGACACCAGCCATTGTACCCGTTGTTTGTTGACTTCAAGGTATCTGACACGGTGCACCGCAAAGCACTGTGGCCAGTGTTGGGTAAGTTTAGTCGCCCGAGCAGGTTTATAAGTCTAATTGAATGCCTGCACCGTGGTATGGGAGTGAGGGTACGGCTCCGTGGACATATCTCGGATGACCTGATGTTGTCTATGGTGTGAAGCAAGACTGTGTTTTAGCTACTTCCTTGTTTAATAGTTACCTGCATACTATGATAT